TCCTTCTGTAACCGTTATTGTGTTGTCATTCTGGATTTCTTCAAAAAGAATTTTGCCATGCCGTCAACGTCCAAGTGTAGTGCCAACGGGGATGTAGCATGAGGTAGGTACGGGCTGGCCGTGAGAAGCCTTGTCTGGGCTGGATTCGCTGGCGTTGGGCGAAGCGTGCCCAACGCGAGCTTGGCAATCAAGCAAGCTCCGGCGCTAAAATTTTGCGAATGTGTACCCCGGCCAAACCTATCTCAGGATCGCGGTACCAACCTTCACGCATGTTTGAGTCCCGCGTAAGAGCAGGTGAAAGTTTTTGACGAAAAAATGACTAATTCGGGAACCAGAAAAGCTGGGAAGCTGAAATTTTGACGGATTGTTCCTAACCCATGTATAACTTAATTTTAAAATTCAGTCTTCAGGTGTGCGTGGTTCACACGCACAGCCTCTGAAAGCTTCTGGTAGAAAAATCGCTAACTCGGGGGCCAAAAAAGCTGGGATGCTGAAATTTTTACGTAGTGTTCCCTGTTCAAGTACCACGTAGCTGCACAATCAACTTCCTGAAATTCGAGCGCCAGTATGTTACAAATTCTAGCTACTGGGATTCCAAGCGATCTTCCTACGGCACGAAATACTGCAAAAATGCATGCTAACACGGGCTCGCCTAGTGCGCGTCGCCAGTGATTTGTTTCATCTATCACAATCCTGATACTGAGAGGTCAGCCCGAAATATTGCGGTACTATGACTTAATGGATGAAAATATTCCTGTTTATCGGAATTTTTGATGTAATTTTATACACCATAATATCTATATTATCATAATGGAGGCTGATTTAGTTAAAAACTCATCAATAAGGTACACATAATTGTCTTTTCTTGCCGATGCCATTGCATGTGAGATTCTGATGCATATCGAACTCAGCTATCTCGTACTGCATAGTGCATCGCTATCTTCGGTGAAAAGTGCATTTTTTATGCGTTTTTTGCAGCAATGCAATGCGAAAAACGCATATTGACGAGAGGTTGTCTGTGTGTCCGTGCCTTTGTGTCTGTGCGTCTGTGTGTCTCTGTGTCTGTGTGTGCGTCTGTCACGCACTTTCATCTCAGGGCCTACAAAAGCTGCGGGGCTGAAATTTCGGGAACTTGATCTACATGCACGGGCCGGCCCCAATCCCCAAAATGGGCGTCAAAACCCGCGTGGTCCGCGTGCGGGCCCGCCAAAGTTTTTTTGGGGACAGTTCATAACTCGAGGATCTGAGAAGCTAGAAAGCTGAAATCTTGAATGTTCCCCGCCCAAGCGGCTATTAGTGAACTTAAACCCAGTCCCCGGGTAAGCATGGTACCCGCGTACGGGCTCCCCAAAATTTTTCCTACGCAAATTCATAACTCGGGGATCTGAGAAGCTAGAAGGCTGAAATCTTGGGTAATGTTCCTCGCCCAAGCGGCTATTAGTGGACTCAAACCCAGCCCCGGGTAAGCGTGGTACCCACATACGAGCCCGCCAAAATTTTTTTCGTGTAAATTGATAACTTAAGTACCTGAAAAAATAAAGGAATGCAATTTTAAGAGGATATACCCCGTCCACCTAAGTTTCATTCAGCTTGAACCCAGCTTCAGGCTTAGTAAACATGCACGGGCCCCTGAAAATTTTGTTCCAGTAAGTCCCTAACTCACGTGCCAGGGAAGCTAGAAAGTTGGAATTTTAAAGGGATGTTTTCTGACAGTTCTGGCGGCCAGTCTTAATTTGTTTAACTAGAAGCATTT